CTTGTTCTTGATATCATCTTAAAGCTCTTATGATTTTGAACACTTTTTGTTCAACAACTATTCAGAAATTCTTTTTTGTTTTCGGAATATATGCAAAAGAAATATTAAGAGCCGGCCCTTCAAGTCCTAAATGGGGACGTCTAGCAAAAATTGAAAGATTGCATATTGTTCAGAATATTATTTTGAACGTCTTTTGTTCAATACTGTTTATCAAAATATTCTTCCTTTTCGAGATATATTGCGCCAAAGATTATGCAATCTGGCCCCTAATGACCCCTTATTGCGTAACGTATGATGTCAACATCATGTTACTTAGATAAAGAGTGTGAAGATGAACTATTTCGCTTCAGTAATATATTACAAAATATTGATCATTTATTGATTGTATACTTTTGGCCCCTCTCGGCCCCTATTTTAAGGGGTCAGACCCTTTTCCTTGATATCACCTTAAAGCTTTCATGATTTTGAACACTTTTTGTTCAACAACTACTCAAAAATTCTATTTCGTGTTCGAGATATATGCGAAAGATATATTTAGGGGCCAGCCCTTAAACTCCTTAATGGGGACTTTTATCAAAAATCAGAAGGTTGCATATTGTTTAGAACATGATTTTGGACATCTTTTGTTCAATATTGCTTATCAAAATATTTCCCACCTTTGAGATATAAAGCGTCAAAGATTTAGTATTCTGGCCCTTTATGGCCCTAATTATGTAAAATATGATGTAAGTATCATAATGTATAACTGTAGATTGTTATGATAAACATTTTTGCATCAGTAATGTTTTACAAAATATTAATCGTTAAAGAGTTATTTATTAAAGACTTTTGGCCCCTCTTGGCCCCTAATGTGATGAGTCAGCGCTTTTTCCTTGGTATCATATAAAAGATCTTGTAATTCTACACAATTTCTATTCAATATGTTTTAAGAAAATATTCATAGTTTTTGAGATAATTTAAAAAATGTCTCAAAAATTCACTTCTGATTCATGTCCTAAATTTCGACCCCCTACCGAGCTTCCATACTAGGCACTTTCGGAAAAATTGAAAACCCAGGTGCAAATCTTCAACATGTTTTCTATAATCGCCAAAAATTTCAACGCTCTAGCTTTTGCCGTTTTTACGTTTTTGTGCCGACAAAATGGCCATCTGAAAATCGATTAAAGGGCGATAACTTCCGACCGGAAGTGAATTTAGAAGATTTGAACAAAAATGGATCATCTTCAGATCAGAAAGCATTACCCCTGAAAATTTCATGAAAATCGATTGAACCGTTTGGGAGATATCTTCTGCACAAAAATTGTAAGTAAAAAGTGGAATAATAACTAGAAAGTCTGCTATTGCAAGCAATAGCATATGTCACTCCGATCTGGCTTTATTAGAAATGGTCTAAAAGTGTATTATTCTGTTCTATTCATAATAATTTTGATTTCCTCAAAAACTTCTTTTTCTGATTGATGAACATGAAATGCATCAGAACACAGATGTTTATACATGTAACTAACACTAGTATATACGGAGAATTAAATTGTATTGAAGGAATAATATCGCTAGTTTTTAGTCACAACTGATACCAGAAATAATTTAACTAAAACAAGTGGTTTATATTAAGATGAAGTAATCGTAAATAAGATGATTTACACACACGCAACAGAAAAAGCATCACGGCAGCGGAATATAAACTCGTATATTAGGGAAACTTGATTTACAAAAAGTAAATTTTACATCTCTGTTCATCAGTACAGAAATTCGGCGATTAACTAGTTGAGTCAAAAGCAAGCACGTTTTCATGGAAATTTATTTTAGGTCTTTAGTAGAATTAAAGTCGATCAGAGTTTGATTTCGGGTTAAGAGAAATATTTTATGTTGTTGTTATTCTGGGTGAGACGTGCGTGCGTGCGTGCGTGCGTGCGTGCGTGTGTGTGTGAGGGTGTGTGTGTGTGTGAGTGTGTGTGTGTGTGTGTGTGTGTGTGTGTGTGTGTGTGTGTGTGTGTGTGTGTGTGAGGGTGTGTGTGTAAGGTGGAGGGTAGTAAAAATGTACAATAACTTTTTTGACTTTACATTTAATAGTTAACAGGATTTTATTTGAAAACTGCATGTGAAAATAAAGCATTACTCAAGAAAAAAATTATCAGAGAAAAACGACACTTTTCAAAAACATACTTGCTGCATACACTATAAGGAATGTGAAAAATTGTGGTTTTAATATATTTTATGATAGTTGTGCAAGTTCATTTCAATTCCTTAAAATAAGGTAGCAATGCTCAATAAATGTATAACTTGTATATTTATACTGTAAAAAGAAAGAAATATCCTTTTCTTATAATTTCATAAAGTATTATCTGTTAATTGGATTTTAAAATACATTACATCATGTCATGAAATTGACATCAGAAATCAAATGGAAATTTAAATTTCTGTCTCTAAATAGACATTTCTTTTTTTCATCACTAAAGCAATACCCATTAGCTGAGCTTTGACAACCATCAACTGGTATCAGTCCTTTCAGTACTTTGATTAAAAGAAACTTCTGATAGCATACAATGGTCATGTGACCGCGACTTAATCATTTGTTTTTCACCTGGCGTCAGCGACAAACTTGGAAAAAATAAAATATCCCATGCACAACTAGGGTTGGTGATTATTATTTCTGTAAAGTTTTATGAATATTTTGGAAGCAATCTACGAGAACGCTCGAGTACAAAACTAAGGTGAACCAAAATACGACTTCGTTCCGGTGGCTGAAGCGATGGGCCTGCTCCAATTTTTTTGTGGAAAACAATTTGATCCAGTAGAAGGAATAAAAGTTTCCAAAAGATTGCTTGCGTACTTGCTGAGAAAAATAGAAATTAAAGAATTTTCACTTTTCGTCCGTTTCCATGGCAACGTTAGGAATTTAGAAAAAATTGAATGTTGACTGCAACATTCAATTTGCTGAGTTTCTAATTATAATTTATGTAAAGTTTCATCAAGATTGCCCAAGCCACCTCTGAGAACATATGTGGGCATAATACCTTTTTTTTCGTTCTGTTTCTATGGTAACTGTGTGCGGCCAATTCCAGGTTTTTTCAAAAATAGAAATCACTTTGAAACAATGCAAGGAACCATCCATTAAAGTTTCAAAATGACTGCTTAAGCAGTTAATGAGAAAATCAAAGATAAAGAATTTTCACTTTCCGTCTGTTTCCATGGCAACAATTGACAATCTGAAAATTTTAAATGCGAATCGCACAACTACAATTACTGATCATCATTTCTATAAAGTTTCATGATGAATGTTCAAGGGACCAGAGAGAACACCCCCAGACAAAATTCGTCACTTTTCGCACGTTTCCATGGCATCGGTAGCCATTTTGAAACTGAAAGTCTGCACTGCACAAGTACAACTAGTGATCGTCTTTTGTGGAAAGTTTCAGGAAGATTGTCCCAGCCATCTGCGAGAAAATTCCCGGACAAGGTTTTTAGGCGTACAATAGCAATATGTCGCCCGACTTCGTTCGGGGCGACATTATAAAAGTGAAAAAGAAACAATACAATAATAGAAGGGTCTTCCGTTGGAGACGGAAGACCCTAATAATAGAAAATAAATAAAAAAATAAAAAGGTAAAGAAAAAACTCAAAATTAAAAAAAAAAACTATTTTAAAATATCTCACAATCTTAAGCAATATGAATAATTAATAACTGAATCAAAAGTAGAACTCTTTACCCCCAGTTTTCTAAGAAAACCAAACTTCTAGACTACTAGACTACATGTATAAATTTAAAAACATTAAAATGTTCAAGTTCAAGTTGAAAGTATAAAATTCAAATTTATACATCAAAGATGGTTTGGTTTGAATAGATGTATATGATATATTTTTCGTATTATCAGGGACGTATAATACGTCCCTGATAATTCAAGTATATTGTATAGTTGCCATATAGATATAAAATGTTATAATGCTACAAAATGCATGCAATACGTATTCATCAATATTGTACAACAACTTAAGACATTTTCAAAATCCCTCTGATTCATGAAGATGTGTAATCTTTGCATATTTGAGAAAAAGTAAAGATTAATTTCAGTGGATAATGTTTAGTCATCCAATAGCAAAATATGAGTACCTTTTATAATTACTCATTGTGCTTAAGTAAATTTTAAAAGAAGTTTCCGTGAGTGTAATAATTGAACTTGAACTTGTCTAATTTGCTCTTTCTATTTCGACATCAAAACTCAAATAAACGGAAATACATTGAAATTCATTGATGCGTACACGAATAGGCTGATTAAATGTGACGTTAGGATCTTCAGCTTCATTCCTTGACCTTTCTTATAAATCGTTGTTTCTGGTAATGAATCATATTATTATTGCAGCGGACCGGGCTGGTCTATACATATAACTTTAAGTTTTGGTGTATAGGATTGAGGTGGGAGAAGTTAATTCAGAATTAAAGGTTAATAACTATACATTAAAAAGATTATACATCAGAATGTTCTTTCCCTTTATAAATTACGAGATACATAATAAATTTACTTCCATCAAGTACATCTTTAAAAATATTTTTTTTTCATATGTTAAATGTTGCTTATCATTTACTATTGACAAAACGACAGGTCCCCTTTTTTAGAACATTAAATTTTACTTATCGCATAAAAACATACGTCACACAGTTTGTGTTTTATATTCATTAAGTCAAAATATATTTTGATGAAATGTGATACATGTGTCTGATTCTAATTAAAATTTTATGCAGCCAACAGTTACTTGAGGAAATGATAAAGTTTAAAACGGTATCGTTTTGGTTGAAATTTGCAGAAACCTTTTTTTTTCTTTTTTTTTAATACCAAAAATGGATTGGTTTACTGCTATTGAATCAGTTTAGTTCTAAATGTGAGAAAATTCCACATCTTGCTTAAATTAAATACAGTCTAGAATCCTTTTTTACTGCTTTCAAATCCAATTTTAAAAAATTCATTAGCGTCAAATATGGTATAATTATAATTTTACGATTTCAGTCAAGTCAATGCGTTTGTACAACTTCTGAAAGTAACGCACGAAATCCTTTAGGATGTACTGACCAAATATTAAGGAAAAAAGAAACACAAATGGACTTATACATCGACAGAGGTTTTTTGGAATACAGTAAAATAGATACAGACAGTATACAAGGTAGGAAATACACATGTACAGAATGCATCTATATGTGGATAATTACCCACTTCATCCTTTATTTCAGAGCAAACATAGAAACCATTTTTGTTACCAGGATAATATGATCTAAACATAAACATAACGTGTTGATACTTTAAAAGTGATGCCTGCTGAGGAAAAGGGGGTGCTGGGGGTACTTGTAAACTACGGGAAAGAGCCCAAAAGGAAACGAAAACAAAACAAAATTAATAAAGAAACGAAAGAAAAGAAAACAAAGAAAAGAACAAACGGAATAAAACGAAAAAAAGATGTCTGCTAATTATTTGAGGCAGTAGGGTTGAAATAAGCCATTTTTCGCATTACGAAATTGCCAAAAATTTAGAGAAAGATTCTAACCCTTTCCGAATTTTAGCATTTTTTTTTCTTGCTTGTCTTTTTACCCCCCCCCCCCCTCTTCATTTGACGTTGCTAAGGGCATGTCTTGTGTTCATGTCTCTCACACTATGATTCTTGAGAAAATAAATCACTTATTATGGTTTGTTACCGACTTTCTCAGAAATATATCGGTTGATCAACTCCATAAATTACTGTAGACAGTCGGTAACAAACTTAATAAGTAATATTATCAATAAAAGTATATTTTAAACACGTACTACGACCAATTTAAATAGGTATCGGAACGGGTAGAGGGATGGAATGGGGCCTAGTCCATCCCCCTCTTTATTCCGAAAACTTACTTAGCCCCTTTCCCACTTTTTATCGCCAAATGTTCATTCATTAAAGTTAACTCCCACCCCTCGACACACATTCAAACACACCCTCTCACACACCCTCACAACACACAAACACTTCTAATTTTTTTATGCCCCCCTATCGAAGATTCGGGGGTATATAGTTTTTGCCCTGTCCGTCCGACTGTCTGTCTATCTGTCTGTCTGTTTGTCTGTTTGTCCGCAAAAACTTTAACATTGCCCATAACTTTTGATTGGTTGGAGCTATGGCTTTCATATTTCACATGTGTATTTCTTGTGACAAGACCTTTCTTTGGGTAACACCATATTTGACCTTTTAACCTTGACCTTTGAGTTTGACCCAGTTTTGCAAAATTTTACCCAACTTTAACCTTGGTCATAACTTTTGAACAATTGGTGCTAGGGCTTTCATACTTCAGATGTGTAATTCTTGTGACAAGACCTTCCTTTGGATACCAACAACTTTGACCATTTGACCTTGACCTTGGAGTTTGACCTACTTTTGAAAAGACTTTAACATTGGCCATAACTTTTGAACGTTTAGGGCTAAGGCTTTCATACTTCACATATGTAATGCTTGTGACAAGACCTTCCTTTGGATACTAATAACTTTCACCCTTTGACCTTGACCTTTGAGATTGACCTACCTTTGAAAAACTTTGACCTTGGCCATAACTTTTGAACCCTTGCAGCTAGGGCTTTCATACTTCACAGATATAATCCTTGTGACAAGACCTTTCTTAAGATACCAACAACTTTGACCCTTTGACCTTTACCTTGGAGTTTGACCTACTTTTGAAAAACTTTAACATTGACCATAACTTTTGAACTTTTGGTGCTACGGCTTTCATACTTCACAGATGTAATCCTTGAGACAAGACCTTCCTTCGGATACCAACAACTTTGACCCTTTGACATTGACCTTAGAGATTGACCTTTTTTGTAAAACTTTGACCTTGGCCATAACTTTTGAACCGTTGCAGCTAGGACTTTCATACTTCACATATGTTATCCTTGTGACAAGACCTTTCTTTGGATATCAACAACTTTGACCCTTTGACCTTGACCTTGGAGTTTGATCTACTTTTGAAAAACTCTGACCTTGGCCATAACTTGAGAACGGTTGATGGTAGGGCTTTCATACTTCACATATGTAATCCTTGTTACAAGACCTTCCTTTGGATACCAACAACTTTGACCCTTACCTTTACCTTGTAGTTTGACCTACTTTTGGAAAACTTTATCCTTGGCCATATCTATTGAACCGTTCGCGCTAGGGCTTTCATACTTCACATATATAATCCTTGTGACAAGACCTTCTTTTGAAAAACCTTAAACCTTGGTCATAACCTTTGAACGATTGGTGCTTCAGCTTTCATATTTCACCAGTATATTTCTTGTGAGAAGGCCTTTCCTTAGGCTCCATTAATTTTGACCATTTGACCTTGACCTGGATGTTTGACTTACTTTTGAAAAAACTTAAACCTTTTCCATATCTATTCAATGGTTGCTGCTAGGGCTCTCATATTTCACAGGTATATTCCTCGACACAAGACCTTACTTTGGGTACCAACTATTTTATTTGCATTTGAGAAAGTTTAACCTTTGCTATAAGTTGCCATACGGGGGCATCAGTGTTTCAAACACATCTTTTTATCCAATTCCTTTGTCTAAGGTGGCATTCAGAAATCGACAAATTTGAATATGAAGTGCATGAGGGACATTTATCAAATTTTACAGTTACTATATACATTGTATACTAATACTTTAAAATATCATGAGTGTCGCGTGTGAACTTCACAACAAAAATGCACAAAATTTGCATATCTAAAATTAGAAGCACCTGGAGACTTGATCTGACTCAATGTTCAAATCAGTTAGCCAAAAAAAGCATTTTTTTTTCAATTAAAAGATTTTCGAAAACGTTAGCAATAAAAGCTATAACGTATCCTACCTTCATTTGGATACTAAATCCAGTGTCGGCATACAATGTTAACGACCAGATTTAGCTCACCTCAACGGTTGGGATCTTATGTAATAACGTCGGTGTCGGCATCGGCGTCCCAGGTAAGTTCTTTCCAAGCGCTGCATTTCATTTCCGGAATTTTGCATTGCATTTCCGACAGGTTTTTTCATTTCCGACAGTTTTTATTTTCATTTTCGACATTTTTTTTTTTTTACATTTCCGGAATTTTTTGAGGGTACATTTCCAGCAATATAATGTTAACCAAGTTGGTGGAAATAAAATTTAAACAGGATATAAATATTACATTTATTTCAAACCACATTTTCCGAATGTAAATATTAAAATACACTGTACATGTATATAAATGTAGCGTCTAGTTAAAAGTTTTGCATGAGTTGAAAGAGCATGCAATTTTTGTTCACCAGATATAATGTCCACTGAATTTTATGTCGCTGACTGCACCGAATTTATGTTCGAAATCAATATCTTATTCTTTTAAATTTTTTTTACAAGAAAAGCTTGAATTCTGTTTTCATTGCCGGAAAAGTTATTTATGATAAATGTCGGAAAAACTATAAAATGTCGGAAATGAAAACTATAAAATGTCAGAAATGAAAAGTTGCAATTTTTTTAAAATTCCGGAAATGCAATGTAACCCTTTCCAAGTATGTCTATGCCTTATATTCAGGCCCGTAGGAAGCCATTTCACTTTTTTTTTGGGGGGGGGGGGCACAACCATACATTTTCATTTGAGGGGGGCACTATCAAATAAAATTCCTTGACAAGCAAAAAAAAGGTCATCAGACGTTATTATTGAGGGAGCACAAGCATATAGTAGCTATGTTTTCTGTAGTTTTCTGTATATCGGCAAAATTATTGGGGGAGGGGGCACTTTTTCAAACTGTTCGTTAATATACCCGGAATTAAATGCAAATACTAAAACCCGATTGAAAATGACACATTCTATCCATTCAGACAGTTGTAAATTCTAGAGGCATTCCGAGAAAATGTTCTGAGATAATTGCAGTTTACGAAAAATCTGTAAAAGTGTTAAAAATCATGTTTTAGGAATTATTTGCAAGATGTGAGGGTTTTACAATAAGTAATCAATGTTCCGAGAAGTCCGGTGCACAAAGATCGGTAGGTGCAGTGTTATTTTCAAAGAACAAGCCATGTAAACAAGCGAGTTGAGCAGACGCCATTACGAATCCTGCATACCTTTACTTTTTTAAAATATCAACAGGTATCATACATATTTATAAACCAAGACTCAAGTACCTGTGTTGTTGGTAATTATATAAGTAAGACCATATGATCAAATCACATAAAATTTTGTAGCGACAGCTGAGTGCTAATAAGCGAGTATAGAATAAATTCCGGGAAAAATTTGTCCCGTTGTTCCCGCTTTATAATTAGCGTAAATGATCAAAGGCTCAAGATAATTTCGAGTAAAAGAAAAAAGGTCAATTTTGGAATTGATTTCAGCATATCTTGGGAAGAATACGAAATTTCGGAATGAACTTCGGTAGTACTGTAGATTGTTTATATGTGAATAGATATAAACAGAAAGTAAACTTTTAGATCATTTGATTTAAACGTATTTCATTGGCGAACGTGGGTACCCTATGTAAGGAGTTCCTTACCTTAACCTTTTTTAAAACCTCAAATTGTAAGTTGGGTTAAAGCGATCTAAGGGCCTGTGGGTCAAATTGAATATTATGCCGTATTTTGTATGTTATGCGTAGCGATACACAAGTTTATGCAGTAGCGAACTGGTTTGTTGACAACTGTTGTTGGGAAGTCCAATCAACTACAAGGTCAGAGTTCCAAACATTCTTGGTTATTGTTTAATCTGAATTTCTACAGACCAAAATTCCTAAAATATGAATGGTACTGGCACAGAGATGTCAATTACAACACCCCATATTTTCCTAGTTCAGTATCGAATCAAGCGCCCTCTTCTGTTGCTGATGCAATAAATCAAATTGGCTGGTCGATATTATTATTGGAATATGCTTTAAAGAAAAGGCTTAATGAAAAATCATTGTTCCATCCCATTAACTGTAATATTCATGCGTCTTGGTGACAGAAATTTCTTTCAGAAAGAAAATTATTCAAAAGTCTCTGTAATATTAATTTAATACAGCTTTTAAGGACATTGGCAAGTCAGGGTTTTCCGGAGACAAAAAGGTTTAATACATGTTTCAAGTTTCAAGTTTTTTACTTATAAAATAGTGATTGAGAGTGATCTCCCGTGTAGAATTCTCTAAGCGGTGAAAACCAATAAAGCATACCTGTGT